TCTCTGCCTGAATCCATCACGACTGTGATGGTGGTAAAACGTGTTTGGTTTCTTCTAATTCTATCATTCCTTCTATATTATGAACTGACACTATTTACTTTTGACATTAAGAAGGTTTTCCTTTCTTGCCCCTCCCCCCTTAATATCAACATGGTCTAAAGGATGATTTTATTCCATATATTATATATAATCCACTATCATCATTATTCTTTCTCAACCTCAAACTGTCCCCTGAGGGACAGCCAGACTACCTCCTACCTAACTGAAGATTTCTGTCCTTCAACTGGGTCATCTGGATATATGCTGTTAGTTTGTAACACTGCTTAGTTTTCTGGCACAAGATGATTCTGGCTCACCTTATTTTATACTTTCCCTATTTGAAACCCAGAATCAGCCATTACTTAAAGAAACTATGGCTCTTTTTAACGGAGAATGGTATTACAAACTAAGATTTTGGTACTAGATATGTTTGCTTATCACTACAATTTTTAAAACCGTGTAGAACACCATAAGAAAAGTCCACTCCTCTCAGAATGTCAGAGCAACACACATCCAAAGAGACGGAGCAGCAGCCATGAGCTCACCCTGTGTCCCCTCTGCCATCTTTCTGTCACCTCCACTGGCTAAGAAAACGGAACACTTTGGTGTACTCTTCTCTCTAAGCTATGTCCAGGGAAGGGCTACACTTCTGCTTCAGGGTTACAACATAGTACCCTATTTCCAACATTGACATCACCTCCAAGTCAAAATTGGCCTCTCCTGGTGGTGCATATGGACTGTATGGATTAGACCTGGAATCGGTACCTTCTTTGTTATCATTCACCTTTCAGGGACCTAAAACTATATTTTCAATTTGTGGAGGACAAGCTGAACAGTAAATATTCAATAACTATTTGTTCAGTCACCCACATGGCTTGTCTTCTATCTGGTCCAAGACCCCTCTATTAACATAATTAATAATTCAGACAGCAAAGGCTAAACATACAACACACAGGTGGATATTAAGTAACCTTCTCTTCTAGAATAAGAAATCTAAGAAATTGGCTCAAATTCAAGTCTTCAAATGCTTTTATGGCTTTATTTGAACATTGACATGTATTGAAATATAATAAATGTATTTACAGTCTCTGCCCCCAGTTCCTGGTGCCTAAAACCCTTAAAATTTCCTGGGTGATAGAAGCATCTTTTGTTCTAATGAAGCAAGTCTTGGTGGGCTCCTGGATCAGCTATACCCTCCATCTTCTGGGAAGGGTGAGGCCTAGAGTTAATGAAGCTTCTGCAAAAATGTCCCAGAACTACAGGGGTTGGAAAACTTCCAGGCTGGTGAGTGCACGGCGGTCTTGGGAAGGCAGTGCACCAGGAGAGGTATGGAAGCACCGCACCCCGTCCCAACATCTCGTCCCATGGGTCTCTTCCTCTCCCAGGCTATTCCTGAACTGCCCCCTTATATAATAAATGGGTGCTAGTGAATAAAGTGCTTCCCTGAGTCACATAAACCATTCAGCAAATAATCAAATTCAAGGAGACAGGTGTAGGAACCTGTAATTTATAGTTGCTTAGTCAGAAGCACAGGTGACAACCTCGGGTTTTCGACTGGTGGCAGTCCTGTAAGACTGAGCTCTTCACCTCCAGGGTCTGCACTAACTCTGGTTAGTGACAGAATTAAGTTAAGTTGTAGGAAACCCAGTTGGATCCACCTGGGGAAACACACATGCACACGCATACTGGTGGTAAGTATGCGCTCTGTGGAGTGCGAGAGTAGGAAAAACCATTTGGTTTCTTCATCTCTTAGAATTTGCCTTTCATCTGCACAGTGGAGTGCGAGAGTAGGAAAAACCATTTGGTTTCTTCATCTCTTAGAATTTGCCTTTCATCTGCACAGTTGGGGTGCGTGAATGCGCATAAAGCTGAGAGCCGCACGTGTCTGCACCTCACCAGCAGAGGTCAGAAGAGGACAGGAAGTACAAAAGGGAACTTGTCTATTTACAGAACTCTGGGACATTGGAAAGTCCATAGGTCACGTATCTTGAGTACGATTTCTAACCACATAAAGTTAAGACTTAAGTTTTAAAAGATATAAATAGGCTCCAATATTCTATATACCATGCAAAATATTACAGTACATGAAAGGATAGAAGATTCATAGTTTCACATATTCTTTCTTATTAAAAACATCAATAAGCTCACAGAAAACAACATAATCCATTATTGATATTGTTCTCACAGAGTAAAGGTTGTAAGTGTGTTAGTTTATTGCTTTAAGTGCCTGTTTGGGGGAAACCAAGCACTCTGTGAACACCAGCACTACCCTCTGATGAGGGACTGCTCCCTGCCGTCCCTGCCTAAGCTGATAACCACCTCATGTGGACTAGACAGCCTGAGAGCTGAAAGGAAAGCCGCCCTCCCTGACGCGTGGGTGTCCACGCCTTCCCAAACGGCAGGAGGCAGACGCTTTACATGTGTTCTGTTGAGACTGAAGACCAGCAAGGCTGTCACTTTCACTGATTTCATTCAACTAAAGAGTATGTGTAAATTTTTTATTGGTTTCCTAGAAATGGTAGAGTTGGCCACGAGGACTGAGTACCACCACAGAATACACGACATTAATTCAAACCGTAAGAACTGAGGGAACATTTTAATAAACTAAAAGGTCTCTGGCCTTACTGTTTTGCATATCTTAAAAAATCCAAAACTGTAAAAGGGAGTTCACGTGACATGAATGCAGTTTATATGCAAAGGCCTGATGGAATCTCAGTCAGCAGCCTCAGAGCCCTGCCTTTACCCCAATAGAAGAGAATATAAACTTATTTTAAAATAAATTATAAAGGTATGCATGGATCACTTTTTAGTGATTCTCCACTCTATCAAATTCTTTAGAGTAAATAACCAATTAATTGTAAGGAGAGTTACATTAAGAAGTCTTTTATTATACAGGCATGTCTCTCAAACAACCAAACGCACCCTGACTTCCCTCAACGGACCTCCCCAGCGTGGCTTAGATCTCTTCTTTTCTTCACTGTCACACGACGTGGATCACGTCTAAATGCATCAGCAAATTACAAAGAGGGGGCACTGGAGACAGAAGTCAAAATTGGGGGGCCCAATTATTTTGTCAAATGTGGCTCTTTTTTGTTAAAAATACCTTCTAACTCTTCTCCCCTAATTTCTCAGATAAAAGATCCTTGAAAGGTCATCCCTACCAATCACTGGTGGATAAAGCAGTGGTTACGTTCACCTGGCTGTTCACTCAGCCCACACTTACTGGGCATATGCTGTGTGCTGAGCACGGCTCAAAGTTCTAGGAATATAGCCGGGAACAAAAATTTTTTATAGATTACACCCTAGTAGGCAAGACAGACAAAATGAAAAACTAATCACAATCTGTGACCTGTGAAACTGGGTGAGGTGCTCCAGAGGAGGACAAATAAAGCAGGGTGGGTGCTCATCAGCACTGGGGGCAGAGGCAGACCCAGCTCAGGTGCTGGGCTACGATGGCTTCATCCAGAAGGCGACATCTGAGGAGATGCCTCCAGAAAAAGAGGGACTGGGCCCTGAAGCTACCAAGCGTGGGGAATAGGAGAGGAAGCAGCCCTGGGCAAGACCCAAAAGGGCATGGGGGTGGCAGGCAAGTCTTGGAGACACTCCAGCGCTAGTGAGCACGAGAAGGTGGAGGAGGGGGGGTCAGTTCCCAGAAACGGGATCACATGGGCTGTGTCGGCCATTCTTAAGACTCCGCCTTTCCTGAGGGTGACAGGGGACCTTCAGGACAGAGAGGATCAGAGAGGATCACGATCTTCCGTATGTCACAGGATTCAGACTGGTGACCAGAGACTGTGGGAGGGGGTGGGGCAGGGCCAGAAGGAGGAAGCTCCCTAGAGAGATTGCTGTGGGCCAGTGGTGCAGTGGAGACTTCTGAACACACTCTGAAGGATCTGCTGACTGACAAGACACAGGTACGAAGGTGGAAAGCCAAAGACAATTGAAGACTTTGGTGTTAGCGACCGGAAGAGTGGAGCTCCCATTTACTCAATGTGGAGTTTGTTAACAGAGCGGATTTGAAGAGAAGGACTTCGCTTGCTAGAACTCTGAGTACACACTCAAGTCAGATGCCTGAGCCCAGACCCTGCAGTGCACAGACAAGGGCACACGAGTCGGAGGGTCAGGGAGCCGAGTCATCCACACAGAGTTGGAGTTAAAAACAAAGGATCAGTCACCAAGGCAGAAAGTACAGACAGGAAAGGTGTGGGCCACCAGGCCCTCTGGGGTTTAGAGATTAAGGAAAAGAGAAGGAAGTGCTGAGGAACAGAGCCCAAATTAAGAATAATCACAACCAATAGCCCCACTTTCATCCTACAATTCATTTCTGGTACAGAAAACATGGGGAGAAGGGAGATTCTGAACACCCTTCAAACATCCAATCACTGCTTCTCATGATACCCAGGTATGGAACCAGCTCCTTGCTGTGTACAATGAGGAAAGGTTAAAAACTGGCGACAGGTTCCCAGCAACACTTCTCTGAGTCCTTAAAATGCTATCATAATTATTTGACTACAGAGAATGTTTTTTGTTGTTGTTTGTGAGAGATTTATTAAAATCCCACATTCCAAAGAGTTACCATCTAGCATGGCATTTTACTAGCCAGAGGGTGCACGAAATCACTTGTGAACCTTTTTTAAAATTACCTGTCCAGAGTGGCTGATTCCACAGACAGAGGATGCCGCCACAGACCCTCCCTGCTGCAGTCAGCGAGGTGAGAACTGACGTCCTCTGGTGACTACAGGCTTTCCTCATTCAAGGATCTGTCAGAACCTCATAAAATCTCCTGGAATTATTTCACCATTAGTTCTTTTACTTTATTAGAGGGCTATAATCAGAGTCAAACCCTAACAATGAGTGCATCACCTCTTACATAAAAGATGCACTGAAAGTCCCAAAGGGGGTCGATTTCGCTCTCTGATCAGGGCAACCGCCCAGGAACTAAACACAAGAGCCGCACTCACCCGTTCCACAGCCGCATTGTGATACGGGAGCTCCTCCTCGCTGTGAAGGAAAGACAGGGAATGTGAAATGGTGAAATCAAAGCCACTTTAAAACACGACATATCTATAGGTACATATGATGTTTAATATTTACTCATCATCACAACAATTACATATTCTTCTATTTCACTAAATTCGGTAGATTCCAGACTGTAGCCACAGTCCCTCATATTCAAAACTGCAGCCTCACACGGCCCAGTGCAGTAGCCACTAGCCACATGTGGCAATTTAATTTTAAACGTAAATTAAAGTTAAAGTCTCACTAGCCACAGTTCAAGTGCACAGAGGTCCCGTGGCTGCAGGCTGCTGTACTGGACACAGCAGACCAGAACGTGGCCCTCAGTGCTCCAGACCACCACACAGTGTGGTTCACACTGTTCAGCTCACACTGGAGAGCAAGAGCAACCGCAGATAGTGTGTACACCAAGTGTGGCTTTGCTCCCACTCAACAGTGGTGAGGCGGAGCCGTATTTTGCCAATCTTTACTAGACCACCACCTCTACTCATGGTTCAATTATGGTCTATGGTAAATGACTGTTCAAAAGGTTAGCATGGGAGGAAAACTGCCTCCAACAGATTTGTGAATTAAAAAGAAAACTTCCAGTTTTATTCTGTAGGATAAAGATGTTTCATTGTCAAAATTTCAAGAGATGATTTTTTTTACACACACACTAAAGATATCAAGTTCATTTCTCTGATAATGAATGCATTTGTGGAATCATCTCTAATACAAAATATACTAAGACTCTTAAGTTATGTGCTTTGAGCAGCTTTCTTGACAGTACTGATGTTTTAGCAACACCCTTGCCTAATTTCTCATGAAATCAAATAATGCACACTTCTGAGGGCATGACAGATTAATATTGAAGAGTTCAGTATTTTCAAAGATTTTCTTCTTGCTACTCTGAAGAGTTCTTAGGTAAACCATTAAACCACAGCAATGGAAGTGACAAGAAATTACGTGTATCATAGCCCAAGAGATATGTCTTAGAGAAAGGGTCCAGATTCCTCATTTCACAGATAATAAAACCAACATTTTCAGTTAGTCCCTGAGTTGTTCAGCACTATCTAATCTAGTGGGTTTGACTTCAGATTGTGCAGGAGTAAATGAAGAAAAGGGATGGAAGGTGAAAAACAAATTTTCAAAAAAGAAACTTTTAAGGATTAAAAGCAAAAGGTCACAGAGGATGACAGAGCAGGAACATGATCGGGTTTTCCTCTGCAGACTTTCTCGCATTATTCCTTCATACTTAAAATCTGTCGCACAGAATCTGCTGTGTGCACACACCAGTCTCCACAGAACTTTCCTCCGTAAGCCTCTGTGTGGCATACGCTATTCACAGACTTCCCAGGAGAACACCCTGCTGCCTTCTCCAGAGCTCTGCGTGACATCTAGCGTACCCGGGCTGGCCCCGGGCAGGGTCTCTCCGTATGAGTGGGAGGAGGCCGCAGGCCTGTGTGCAGGATGCTTCTGCACTTGCCACCCAAACATTCTTCAAGTAGACAGGAGCTCACCATCTAGGTGAGGGCAGAGTATTCTCTTAGGTCAGCAAACCGGGCTGTGAATCCAATCTGACTGGTTTTATAATAAAATTTAAATGGAACACAGCCACACGCATCTATTTACGTATTGTCCATGGTTGTTTCATGTTACAGTGGTAGGCCTGAGTAGTTGTGACAACGGTCGTATAAGCCCATAAAGCCGAAAATACTTCATATTTGGCTCTTTATAGAAAACATCTGCCAACTCCTGATTTCAAGAACAAGGGTTTCGGAGCACCTACAGGCTCCTTTAAAAAAAACATTGAGCTGATAGCGAATACCTGTATCTCAGAAATGCAGTGAATAAAAACAACACAGTTATCTAGAGTTTTTCATCTACTGTTAAACTCAGAAACAGCTCAGGTAGAGTATTTCTGTTAACTCTGAGATAAACTCTCATTTGGAAACTTAAAACTTTATTTGTTAAAATCAATTAGCTGAATACCTAACTAGATTTTATTTGCATTTTTAAAGTAAATTTTATCTAAGTTTAAATTGACTCTAGTCAAATTCTATAGGATTGTAGAAAGAGTTTTCAAGCCCTTATAATCTAAACAGTAATTCTATAAAAACAAACACACCTTTATTCCAGCTCTCACATACAGCCGTTTTACACAGTCACGGTAAACCACAGCCAGCCTGCTAAATTTTATATTATTTATATGTACATAAATATATACCTTTTGATAAACAGTTGAAAATCTGAAGCTTGGCATCAATCTTATCTTCCCTGTTTGGGTACAATTTCCTTCTAACTCTTCTATTAATAACTTGTAGCCTAAAAGCATCATTATTCAAATACCAAGCATTCTTTGCTGAGCAGACTAGTAGGGACTATTTTTGACTAAAATGTTTAAAGTTCTCCAACCTCTTCCTGGAAGCAGCTCTGCTCCGCCACCGTGCAGCTGTGACCCTGTCCCAGGCACAGACAGGGATGACACCTGCTGCTGAGAGCTGAACAAAGACGCTGGGCGTCTGCACCGAGCCCGGCGGGTTTGGCAACAGCTTTCATGTTTATTGTGAAATCTGCTAAACCAAGTTAGTTCTACACGGTCTTTGTTAATTACTGTCACTCCTCCACACATCATAATAGGTAGTTTAAGTTTCTAAAACTATAATTAGATATGAAATCAGGCAACAAAGGCTATGAAGTCATTTTGTCACTTTATTACATTGACATTGACACCTAAAACCCAATTTCATGGCAGAACCAATCAAAAATTACAAAGAACTAAGAGACTAAAAGAAATGTTCTTTTGATCAAGGTGTGATAGGGAGTACTATCTGAACGTCTACACCAAGGGACTCTATTCAACAGTGCCCCAAACTCCAGTCTAGGGTGACAAGCAGTGAAAGCCCCTGGCAACAATCTCTGGAGAAATGTTTGACTTAAATTGGGCTATGTAACAAAAGTCACTGATTTTGACAAAACTTAATACAGCCTAACATTGCCGTAACATCCATCTCTATGCTTCCTTGTTTAATCTGTGCTGCCTGCTTTGGGTCCGTATCACAGAGTATGTACAGTCAGCTGAGGGTTTGAGAACTGGCACCAGTCTGCTTCACTGCCAAAAAGGCGGTGAGCTCAGCTATCTTGGCGCACATCTCAACAGCAGTGATGGTTCACTCGGCACCCTTCTCCAGACGTGCTCCTTCCCCCTTCACTTTCTCTGCAGGCATTTCAAAGTACTCATTCTGCGTTTCATTTATTAAAAACACAAGAAAGCAGCACCAGGTAGCAACCTGCAGCCGTGCAGAATGTGGGCTCCGCAGTGAGACTCCCAGCCCCGAGAGCCGGCACTCAACGTGGGCAGACTCTGCAGCCAAATGGACCTTCACACAAAGTTCAAAACAAGCCAAAACAACTATCTGCAATTCTTAGATCGCCAAATACAGGCTGAGCTCGTATGCCGGAATCTCTGCTGCTAAGGCCTAGCTCCTCAGCTCATGTTATTTCAAACAAGAGGAGAAAATTTAGAGCCCCCTTTGAATCCACGAAGTTTTCACATGTATTTTATACCATTTTATGATTTTAAAACATTATTATAGTGGTTCATTCCCAACAAAAACCCTTAGGAAGGTCTAAATCGGTGGAGTTGTAGCCTATCTTCCAAATAAAAATCCAGGACAGAAGCCAAAACTCTTTTATTTTTTAAATTTCCCAACTGATTCTAATATGCAGGGAAGTTTGGGACCTACTGATGTTAAGTCTTCAGGCTCAAACAGTCCTTCGAAACTTGCTACACGTCCCTCAGTTCTGCACACTAACCCACAAAAACACGCGGTCACTTCCTGTCACATTTGTAGCCAAGTTTGATTTTTTTAAAAAAAAGTGGAGGTGGGGGGGTTTAATTTAAGAACAATATTTTTATCATATTTAAATCTTAATGTTAGTACGTGAGGTACTGAAGCTGAAAGTCTTCTAATTATTCAGAAGAATTTTTCAGATATGCTCATGTCATTAGATATAATAATAATCTTATGTTTGTCCAAAACTTCATAAAAGTTTCTTACATTTTATTTCTTCAAAGCCTCAAATATACCTTACGGTATGTAAAGAAGTTATTGACACTTGTTTTACAGAGGAAGCATGAAGTGGTTAACTGCCCAGAGGCCAGCAAGACTGTAGAGCACACACTTTCTAACTCCCAGAACTATTTGTATAGTTATTTACTTTCAAAAAACCATGATACAACAAAATAAATTCTAAACAAACATGCACGCACACACACACACACAAACCCTAAAAGCCGAACAGGAGAAAAAAAAGTCTCAGTCCTTTAAATTACTGCCATGTACTATACAAGAAGTTATGCTTTCTCTTCGAAATTTAATCATATTATGAAATAAAAGTTTGGGGCTCTCTTCCTACTTGTAATAAAAGAAACTGGAAAAAGAGTACATTTGAATGAAAATGTAGTTAATTCCCAACTTGTATGGAACCAAACAAAATATAGAGATGAATAAGTCTCCAGCCCGTGGGGATCTGATTAAACAGAGCCAGAACCGGAACAGACAGATTCACATCATTTGCAAGATGTTTTTGAGAGTCAAGATCATTTTAACGGCTTTGGGCTTTGTTTCGCGGTGGTGCAGACTCTCTCAACTCTTTACATAACATACACAGGATAAATGGAATTAATTTTGAGAAGCATTATCATGAACACATTTACGAACATAAGGGAGATAAATGGCTTTTCCTCTCAATGCTCATTTTTAGGCTGCATAACACTAAAGTTCTAATTGCTAATTATTTTTTAAATGCACTGGTGCAGAATGAAATGTTTTATATATTTTTTAAATACAAAGTATCCCTTTGCATTTAATTCTGCTAAATTATTAATACAACTCATTTACTGCATTTAATGTTCTTGCTAAAAGACAAAGAATATTCAAAATTTATATTCTTAAATTTTAATCATAGAGGTTTAAAATGTCAGGAATTTACTACCAAAAAGCACATTGTAGGACTACTCCTGACACCTTATGCAGAGCAATTCTATTAAAGATAAATAAAACCAATATCACTGAAACATTATAACTTTAAAAATCAGCTTTCAATAGTGTGACTTACTGTAAAAAGCCAAATCTATCTGTGACTTTGTAAACAAGGTAATCAGCGTCTTCCCAAGGCTCGATCTCTGCACCTTCTCGCCCCTAAAACAAGGGACACAAAGGCACATTAGTGGTAACTTATAAAACTAAACAATTGTTTACGATGAAAGGACAACAAACAGGAGCTTTAAACACTGTATTCTTAGCAGTGAGAGCTGGAAATGAGGGATTATCAGCTTTATTTACCATTTTTTCCCTTTAAAGAAAACTATTTTGGGCTCAGCGCCTGTGGCTCAAGCGGCTAAGGCGCCAGCCACATACACCTAAGGTGGCAGGTTCGAATCCCCAGCCCGGGCCCACCAAACAACAATGATGGCTGCAACCAAAAAATGGCCAGGCCAGGCATTGTGGCGGGCGCCTATGGTCCCAGCTACTTGGGAGGCTGAGGCAGGAGACTCGCTTGAGCCCAGGAGTTGGAGGTTGCTGTGAGTGTGATGCCACGGCACTCTACCCAGGGTGACAGCTTGAGGCTCCGTCTCAAAAAAAAAAAAAAAAAAAAGAAAACTATTTTGGCGATATAGCCACTCTTCCCTACTATGATTAGCGGCGAGATAATACCCTGGATCAGGGCTGATGGGTATGATCTGACTGGGGTTCCTGAGGGGAGAGGCCGGGGAGGAGCAATGGAGGATGAGAAGCTGCTCAAGAAGGAACTGCTGAACCTCAAAGTTTTAGACTAAAATATGTCTTAGAAAAAAATATTTCTTGGCTTTTCAGCCAAACTTCTCCAATGAGCAGGCTACACACCTTGCCTCTCTGCTTCTTTACTTCCAGTTACATCAGTCCCAAAACTACTCTTCCCCGGTCAGAAATGCCCTGCACTGGTCAGCCCCGGAGGACGGGTCAGGGTCAGGGTCAGGGTCAGGGTAAGGCAGCCGCTCTGGTCAGCGTGCCCACTCCCTCTCCCGCCTCCCCACCCCTCCAGCGCAGGGCAGCTCTTCACTGCTCCTCTTGCTCCAGCTAGCCTTTACTTGTAGACTGTTAGTTAGCACTGATCGGTGTGGAAACCCCAAATATAACTATACTGAGCCTCAGATTTTAGACTCAAATACATGGCCGTGCTGTGGACACCTCCATCTGAGAGTTACTTCACAACCATCTGCCCATGTGTTCTCCTCCAGGTGGGCTGGGAGCACCAAGTGGACGGCACAGCCACACTCCTGTCTGTGTTAGGATTCCCCAAGCCCAGGCCCGATGCCCCGCCTATGTTAACTGTGGGGAAGGGTGTGCAGACACCAATGAACGACAGGGCTATTGGTTCAGAATGAGCTAAGGAGTTACGTAAGTTCCCCGGGTTCTTCACAGACTACAGTAAAACCTAACCATAACAATGGCATAGAGCGTCTGATGGTCTGATGTTCCAAACACCAACGGGAGCAGAGCTGTTAAGCTGCACAGTATGCCCCACGGAGGCAGGGCACAGCCCAGATGGCTTTCTGTAATTTCATGTTCCTGTTGTTCTCACAAATCATAAAAAATAGCAGATATATAATTACACACAAGTGACACAAATGTAAAACACAACATTTATAAATCACTGCTAGGACTCATTATAGACCTCAGGAGGTAAAGTCATAAATTAGAGCACGTGTAAATCATTAAAAACTATGATTTTCTAGAATATCAGAGAACAGACTCCATATTAACAAAGATAAAATGCTAATGGAAATTATATACAAATGTATACATCCAAACTCTAAGATCCACAGCAAATTTATAACAGCACATATAAATTATGAATGCAGTGGATATTTCATTCTGTATCCTCACTTATGCAAGTATTTACTGAGGACCTAGGAGGAATTTTCTAGGTGTTTAAGATACAAGAATAAACCAATAAAAGAAATCCCTGCCCGCAATGTAGAATTTGCATCCTCAGAGAGAGCACAGGCAACAAACAAAATACGCAGTACACTGATGTAGTAAGTGTTATAGTGAAAGACACCAGGGCTACGAGTGGGGGTGGGAGGGAGCATGTCAAGGGCGGGGGAGGGGGTCAGAGATGACCCCACTGAGACGGCAGCGTCTGGGAAACGGTCTGGAAGAGGTGAGACGGCACGGCAGGAGGGGGCACACGCGGCATACCAGTGTCACAGGCAGAGGAGGCGCCAGGACAAAGGCAAGGGCAAGCCGGGTCTGCAGAAGGCACAGCAGGAGACGGGAGTGGGGAGGAGGGAGAGAGAATGTGGAGATGAAGTCAGAGAGGAAAGATGACCTCTATGTTCCCTGAAGCAAATAAAGTGCCTCTGTAATTTAAGCACCCCCAGAACAAACCCATTTCTATTTATGTGGTTTTTCTAATAAACTTGCTCCAAGAGCAAACGTGGCTACTCACTCTGTCATACTTAGCGACGATTTCAGCTCGCTCCTGAGCAAGTTTCAGTGCTACATCCTGTTCTGAATCTGGAGAGATCAGATTTAGGAGAGTTATTCAAAGAACCATGAAGTTAATCATTATAAAACCAACCCAAATAAAAATAAAAATACTAATACTATTTAAAATGACAAGTGAATAGAATCAAATAAACCTTTCACCAGCAACATGTATGATATCTGAAAGAAAGCAAATTTATTAACAGTAATAAACTTAGGGTCGTGACAAATCCTCTCTCTCAAGGACCAGTTTTGAATAAAAAATTTCACAGAAATGGAGACTGGGGACTGAGAAAGAAACTGAAACTGAAAGGTCCAGGTTTCCAAGTGAAAGCCCCTTGGGTAGAAGAGAGAAGAACATTCAAAAAATGCTTTCACAAATTAAGGGGATGTGGAGCTCCATAAAATAATCTAGCATACCTTATTATGTCAGGGGTTAAAGAAATATTTATCTTGCATGATGAAAACAATCATGTCTTCGTTTAGCCTTTCGTGTCCCTGGATCAACTGCCTTGCCTACTGTAACGACCTCCTAACAAGTCACTGTGCCTGTTTCACAACCCAAGTGTGTACAGACAACACAGGGAGACACACGCACACCTGCACCTCCTTCCTTATTAGCACTAAATGTCTTTCAAAAATAAACATCTGATAATAATAGTACAGATCAGAACAGGAAATATTAATAGTATAAATATGATTACGTAATCCAAGTACTGTTCAAAAAAAGGCCAATGATAGACTGCATATAAGAAGGATCTCTGATCAAAAAGAAAAAAACAGCATTTCAACAGAAAACTAAACGAAGGTTATGAGAGAGAAACTCACAAGAGGAGCAGCAGCAGCAGCAGCCACACTGCGCCCGCTAAGCAAGGGCCCAGCAGGACGGGAGGCCTGCGGGCAGCAGACCCTGCGAGAGCACTGCTCTCCACCTCATCACACAGAAGCCTCACAACACCCCAGGAGGCACAGTAATGCTACACCAATGATAACAATGAGGCTCAGACATTATTTTTAACTTAATTTTTATTAAATCATAACTATATACATTTATGGATTACAATGTGATGATTTGATAGACAATGTGGAATGCTTAAATCAAACTGATTAACATAACCATCACCTCACTTACTTATTTTTTGTGGTAAGAAATTTATAAACTACTCTTAGTTGTTTTGAAATGTACCCTTGCAGCTTGGTACCTGTAGCACAGTAGTTACGGCGCTGGCCACATGCACCAGGGCTGGTGGGTTTGAACCCAGCCCAGGCCAGCTAAACAACAACAACACACACAACAAAAAACAGCCAGGTGTTGTGGCAGGTGCCTATTCTCCCAGCTACTTGGGAGGCTGAGGCAAAAGAATCACTTAAGTCCAAGAGTTTAAGGTTGCTGTGAGCTGTGATTGCACAGCACTCTACCGAGCGCAAAAGAGTCAGACTCTGTCTCAAAAAAAAAAAAAAGAAGAAGAAAGAAAGAAAGAAACATACCCTTGCATTGTGCATGTTAGGTGAGATGGCACCAAATACCCTCCCCTCCTCTTGCCCCTCCGGCCCCCTCCTCTCAGGACTGCTTTTGTGTCTCATCCTTCATATGCATGTGTAAGTGATTATATATTGGTTTCATAATAGTATTGAGTAAAGACATTTACATGGGAATGTTTATTGTAGCCCAATTCATAATTGCCAAATCGTGGAAGCAGCCCAAATGCTCAACAACCCATAAATGGATTAACAAATTGTGTATATGTATACCATGGAATACTATGCAGCCATAAAAAAGATGAGGACTTTACATCTTTTATGTTTACCTGGATGGAGCCAGAACATATTCTTAGTAAAGCATCTCAAGAATGGGAAAAAAAGTATCCAACGTACTCAATACTATTAGGGTCAGAGATTTTAAATAACTTGTCCAAGGTCACAAAGCTGAAGCAATGTCAGAATTTAAATCCAAATGTTTTTGACTCAATAGTCCATAATTTTAACTACTATTTTATTAAAAAAATGATTACTAAAGACACAAAAAAGGACTTCTGGTTAAAGACAGCAGATGGAGCATACTTTTACTTTCATTTCTCCTAGAACCCCAGTAAAATGAAAATATAGGAATTCTTGAAATCCTATCCCTCAGAGGCCCAGCAAATGGTGGTTCCTAAGAAGTCAGGGTGGGATAAAAACCAAGGAGGGGATTAAAGGAAGTCAACTCCCTGTGAGGTGAGGGGATGTGGCAGAGGTGGGTACAGGGTGGAAAGCCAAATGCACGCTCCTCAAAGCAGGAAACTGGCGGAAAGCCCTAACGGTGAAGCAGCAGCAGCAGCAGCCACAGAGCCATCACCAGCACTGTGGAGGGCAGGGGGGTGTGGACACCTCGCCAGAGCGGGCAGTGAGCAGGGAGGAACACAGGAGTCTGCTATTTTCAAAACAAGACTTACAGATTGCCGATCTTTAAGCCAAATGCAGCTCTAATAAAAATAAAATCTAAATTTGAAAACCAAGACATAGGAAAAAGCCAACCTTATTAGTAACTAAAGAAATACAAGTCTTAAAATATCACTCTGGGCTCGGCGCCTATAGCTCAACCGGCTAAGGCGCCAGCCACATACACCTAAGGTGGCGGGTTCGAATCCCCAGCCCGGACCCGCCAAACAACAATGATGGCTGCAACCAAAAAATAGCCGGGCGTTGTGGCGGGCGCCTGTGGTCCCAGCTACTTGGGAGGCGGAGGCAAGAGACTCGCTTGAGCCCGGGAGTTGGAGGTTGCTGTGAGCTGTAATGCCAGGGCACTCTACCCAGGGGGACAGCTTGAGGCTCTGTCTCAAAAAAAAAAAAAATCACTCTGGAAGGCAGTAGATGAGCTAATACAAGGTGGGGGGTGGGGGACAAGGGAACAGGGAGAGGGGAGGAGGGATGGGGTCACAGTATATGGCACACCTCTTCCAGGCGGAAAACAAGAGGGACTTTACCTGACAAATGCAATCAGTATAACCTAATTTTTTTTTTTGGAGACAGAGTCTATGTTGCCCTCTGTAGAGTACTGTGATGTCATAGCTCACAGCAACCTTAAACTCTTGGGCTTAAGCGATTCTCTTGCCTCAACCTCCCAAGGAGCTGGGAGAATAGGAGCCCACCACAACACCCGCCTATTTTTTTGTTGCAGTTGTCATTGTTGTTTAGCAGGCCCGGGCCAGGTTCAAACCCAAACCTGAACCCGCCAGCCTTGGTGTATGTGGCTGGCAGGGCAACCACTGTGACATACATATATTATCATTTTCTATTTCATACTAACCAAAAACGTCCAACATTGCTCAACGATGACAATGATGTGGGGAAACCTACAGTTCATCACAGGAGTGTCAACACACATTCACATAAAAGCTTTCCGGCAAAAATAAATAAATAAATAAATAAATAAATAAAAAGCTTTCGGCCAGTAACTTGACAACATGCATCAAAAACCTTAAAAATGGGCCTATCTTCTCCCCAGCAAGTCCACGCTAAGGATTTATGCCAATGAGATAATCAAACAAGCATGAAGTTGTTTACAGTAATAAAAATAGCAAAGTGGAAATTTGTAAATTTTTAAAAGTTTATTTGTCTGATATAGGGACAACTGATGCTAAAAAAAGAAAAGAAAGTTTATTTGGGAAAAAGTATTTATGTCACCACTTTTTTCATTAAACAACAAAATGTCAATATGTCAGGTAGATACCAAGGGACCTGAGACTCGCCATAGGCACAAAGCAGGTGCGAGGCTTTGGGGATGTGCCCAGTGACTGCCCCCTGGATGGAGGATTGGCAGCCCCATCTTAGTGTTGTCCTGCCTTCATCCCTTCCCCAGCAAGTAAGGGGCACAGCCGGGGTGAGGAAGACCACCCAGTGGCCAGGCAGCCCGGGTACCACAGGATTTGGAAACTGAAGGCTAACTGCCATACTGTTAAGTCCACCCCAGTGGTTCCACGGTGACTTCTGAACCACAGAAGGGCCCCACCCAGACCGTATAAAATGGGACCCCAGAACAAAACCAAACCTTTTTGTCACCACAAGGGCCACGCACCTTGCTCTGTAACCTGTATCTTGCTCTTGCTCTAAAAATTTATCTTTCTTTTCCTCAATAATCTTTGTTTCACACTTGGTTTGCTTTTGGTGGCTCTGGTCATTCTTCTGAACCTCAACAAATAAGCTTTCCTTTGGGGGAAGTATAAATAAATAAGTAAACAGAATGAGTCAATAAAATAAAAGTACAAATCACTTGTGTGGATTTTCACAACCAATTAATGCAAACAGAAGTTGGAGCTGACCTACTCAACTATGTGCATATTTGTTACCATATGGGAAACGCGGGAGGCTCTGTCTACTCCTTCCCCCTCTTCTCTCGCCCAGTTTTAAAACTTTACATTCACAGTGCTACCACAGAGCAAGGAAAGAAAATCAATAGAAATTAAATTCAAAGTAGAGAACTTCACTATTTATTAAACTCTATTACCAGAGCTGCTAAACATGAATTTCTTTGGTGATTAGTCCAAATTCAATAGGGGAATGCTCTCTTATAACGCATTGTACACTAGCCCTTTATTCTTGCTGCCAGTCCCAGGAGTCTCAACTATACAGCCAAGGTAACCAGAAAAGTTTAAAAGTGTAAGGCACAGTATGGAGTTGGGAAGTGAAGCTGCAGCGAATCCCAAGGAAACTTCCCAGCAACGTGCAGCTTCACAGCCACAAGTGACCCTTTAGGTCCCCAAGTATGGCCTCTCCACAGAATCCAAACGTCACAGAACAAATCTCTTTATTTGAAAGGATTTGTGCTGTAAAATATGGATTCAGTCAAAGGCCACGCTCAAGAATCCAGAAGGCCACACGTGGCCCCAGGGTCTCAGGTTCCCCACCCCTGAATGGGACGAGGAGGATTATGCACTCACACATGATCAGAACAGCTGCTTCTAAATCAAATGAGTTCTAAATCTCTAACATCCATCCTTGTAGTTCCCCACAGGGAGAACATTTTATAATATTAACTAATGTATTCTAAAAAGAGTAGACATAAAGTCAGACTAATTTCATAAAATATAGCCAAATTTGTTTTTTGTTTGTTTAGTCATAGTCTCACTCTGTCCCCATGAGTAGAGTGCCATGGCATCATCATAGCTCACAGCAATCTCAAACTCCTGGGCTCAAGCAATCCTCTTGCCTTAGCCTCCTGAGTAGCTGGGAATACAGGTGCCCTCCACAATGCCCAGCTAGTTTTTCTATTTTTAGTAGAGACGCAGTCTCACTCTTGTTCATGCTGGTCTTGAACTCCTGGGCTCAGGAGATTCTCCTGCGTTGGCCTACCAGAGTGCTAGGAGTACTGGCGTGAGCCACTACACCTGGCCCCAAATTTGCTTCTTAGAAGACTAAATGGAAGGGCCAGTCTTTCAATACTGAGTTTAGAGCCAGTATTTAATAATCTGTACTTCAAGGCAATCATATATAGAGAGCAAGATATACTATCCTCACACAGAATTTGCTAAAATTATGCTTCAGACTACCTGATCTGTAGTTGAGTAGTTTACTAAGAGTTACACCAGAATACTTCCTTTGGTTTTATTCTGATTGCTTATTTAAAAATTCCATTGAAAGAACAAAGAGTTTGTTCCCAAACCACAAACAATGTCAACAGCTGTTTTATGTCTGTGTACAAGTGTGAACAAAGTTTCAGGCTTCTATTAAACAATAACAGCTGTGTTAGCTGGTACTTATACCACATCATTATCAAATAAAAATTTAATCAATAAATCATTAAATCTTGATACTATCCTTGAAGGATAAACCCATAATTAACGGAAGCTTATTTGGAAAAAATTGGCTTGAAATACAATATTACTTGTTGCCAAAATATCATGGTAACTAAAAAGTAATTCTACACGATTTTTAAAATAAATGTAACCAAAGACAAAGCTCCTATCATTAAAAATAAAAGCATGTAGGGTGGTGCCTGTAGCTCAAGTGGCTAAGGCGCCAGCCACATACACCAGAGCTGGCAGGTTTGAATCTGGCCGGGGCCTGCCAAACAAAGCCAACTACAACCAAAAAATAGCCAGGTACTGTGGCAGGTGCCTATAGTCCCAACTACTCAGGAGGCTGAGGCAAGAAAATCGCTGAAGCCCAAGAGTTGGAGGTTGCTGTGAGCTATGACACCACGGCACTCTACCCAGGGCAATAGCTTGAGGCTCTGTCTTAAAAAAAAAAAAAAAAAAAAAAAGAAGCGTGTATAAAAATATCTTTAAATATCAGTCCTCTTATTTTAGCAAAGTATTAGTTTTCTTAATTGTATCATTCAAGCCAAATTAAATTATTTGTATTGACTTTACATTTGACATAACAAGGTTTCAAAGTCAAAGAGGCATATTCCAGGCAGTAAGGGTGAGAAGATATTTGAATACACAAGTATATGGGAAAATATCTCTGGGCACAAACTTACAGAAGAAAACGGCAACTACAGTATTTTAAGAAGTATTTTAAACATTGACAATTACATAATTTTAATCCACTTAAATTTAAATTCCCAAGAACTTTTAAGAATCAAATATCCTAAGTTACAGTCTTTGAAGGCAAGCATTTTATTTTAGTGTCAATTAACAACAAATTGTAAGGAGAAAATCATATAAAGTTACTAATGTTCAAATTGAATCCAATAAAACAAATTCACAGCAGACCATTTTCCCTAGTTTACATTCTGACTTTTGAGTATCAACATCAACAATGACAGTTTTTAAAGTACCTTACCCTTTCTCAGGCAATCAGTTCGGCCTTGGAAATTAATGAAAGCTTCCGTCCTCATAGAGTAACTTATCTATTCCAAGGTTTCATTATTATTTTACAGATTTCAAACACACCAGGAGCCTTAGATGATACCTCACACATTCTGCAACTAACTGAAACAAAGAAAGTAGAAGGCCGCTCTATTTTAAACTATTTATGAAACGAGAACAGGACAGAAGTTTCAGAAGCATTCAGTCTTTTTCCAGGGAGGAAAAAAGACCTTGCTGTGATCACATGGACATGGAACAAAGATGATGTTTGTTAAGGGTGAAACATGTCTTTCAGGCTAGAGCCCCGCTCTGAGCCACACCAGCCTACACCAGCATTCCACCTAACAACAAACAGGGGCTTTAAACAGCAGCTTCATAACATGCGTCATCTTGGGCTCCAAAATTAACCACTTTCTCAGTACGTTTAATAAAACTCATCAAGGAAAAAGTGTTTCTAAAACATTAAAGCTAAGTAGCAATGCTCTTCATCTATACATTGTTTATCTTAATGTAATTCTTCATGGTAATTTTTAACATGAAACCTGCAGCCCCTATTTCTGACAGTTGGCAAATACTAAAGTAGTGGTTTGGGACATTTTTTACCACACTGCATAGGAACCAGTGAAACGAATGTTTCATGAAAACTACGTTTAAGTACTGTGAGATGGCAATGGCAATGTCAAGTGTTTTATTTATTCCTTTCTTACCTTCTTTGTTTCCCTCTTTCTTTTAAATGAATAGGGACCTGGAATTTGAAGACCACTGTGCAAAAGCAACAGCCCTGTCAGAGGCACACCTGTGAGCATTAATTGCTCTCAGCTGGACACTAATGAATTCCGTGTATGTTCAGCCAACCCCCAGCTGTAACATGAAGCAAAAGATCTCAGAAGTTTAGAAAGAGGGAAAAATTTCAAGTCATACCATATGAGAATCAGACTGGCATCAAATTTCTTATCAATATTATTTTCAAGGTTCTGAGGAAAAAAATCATCATAAACTTGGAATTCCATACCAAGCATGAAGAAAAATAAAGACTTCTGTAGCTATCACAAGGTGTGGTAAGAGGAAAACGTCCAAAAGCCTGTCCCCAAAGATGTCCACATCCTCATGCCTGGAACCTGTAAGAGCTACCTCACAGGCAAGAGGGGTCTGCAGCGGCAACTCAGTTAAGGATCTTGAGTAGATTAGCCTGGATCATGCAAGTGGCCCGATGTAATCACAGGGATCCATATCAGAGGGGGAAGAAGGTCAAAGGAGGAAGCAGGAGTGAGGGTGGACAGGTCGCCGGCTGAGGAAAGCAAGTGGCCGCCAGAAGAGGAGGGACATGGATGTTCCCCTGGAGGCTCCAGTAGGAACCAGCTTGCCGACATGCTGACTTCGGCCAGTGGAGGCCATCTCAGGTCTCTGACTGCAGAACTACAGAACACCATGTGCTGTGTAAGCCACCACACCGGTCAGCACAGCAGGAGTACACAAGGAGTCTAAGCTGACGGCCTATGCAACGTTTCTTTGAAAAAGAATTTGACGGGGTACTACAAAAAAAACAAAACAACCACAAAAAGAGCTGACACCCTTTCCTTGACCAATATTTAGTCAGATCCTCTGAGCCTGCATCTGACCAGGCCTCAGCCTGGGCCCTGTCCTGTCTTCAGCCTGCCTGGCCCACTGCAGCATGAGTCCCCACCCCTACCCCAGTATCGAGTCATCCTTGACATATGAGCAGATTCCTCACTCCCACCCCTGATAACTGACCACCATGGTATGTCTTCCACAGGAATCCTGCTAACATCAGTTTAGCAAGAATCCCCTACCCTCTATAATCTAGACCCTCCTATCCATGGCCTCCTCACTCCGCCAGTCCCTTGGCTACTAATCTCCACCTGTCACTGCTGTCCTCTGAGTTGAGCCTGATCCCTCTCTCATATTGTGATAATCTCGATACCTACTGCAATAGGCCTGAAGAAAGTCTCCCTTACCTTTTTAACAAGTGTCAGAATAATTTTCTTTGATAGAATAAAAAAGAGGCAGACACAGAACCCATGAAATCACAGCAGACCAAAATCAGACAACCAGTCTCCATTAGAATGGAATACCATTAGAATAGGGAATGCCAGGTGTCTTCAAGAAAGTAGGTTCCACACATCACATAGATCATGGCTATATCAGTGACATAGTGAAAGCTTACATACAGAGACACCAAAGAGAGGGTCAGGGAACTATTTAAAATCTCAGGACAAGGAAAGAACAGAGTAAGAAGAGTCCCAGTCCAAATGTGTAGTAAATGCAAAGGGATATGGTGACCTTGAGGGATGGGAAAAGTAAATTCACTTGACCTTACATCTACAACACTGGGATAATATGAGACTTAAGTAAACTATAACATTATTATGACTATATAAGAATTTTATTGGCTATTAATGTTTGGAATTAACTATAGACAATGTCCAAAAGTGATCTCTGATCCACATGCATATCTCCCACTCCAAACCCACACCCCTTCTCAGAAGCAATCATTGTCGTCTCCCAAAAATATCTCCGCATAACACAGGACTCTGCATGTATTCATGCACACATGCATATATTTAATCTCCTTTTTCTATAAATTAATCCTACACCTACTCTTTTTCACTTGCAGTACATCTTAGAGACTGTACAATACTAAGGACTACAGACCTACCCAGTGGTGCCCACAAAGGTTTCAGAACCGTCCTAGCATTAGGGGCAGAGGCAGGAGGCCTGTTTGGGGTCCTGCTGATCCCCATGCTGCGAATACTCCCGCTACAGGGCCCAGTCTCCACGCTGCCAATGAAACGCCACCGGATGCAGTGCCCAGGCTGCTGCCGCATACCAACACATTCACCACGGCCTTTTCACAGCCTTAAAGCATCCTAAAGGTATTGACAGAATTTATTCAATTCCTCTCTTAGGAATTTGAACTAGGAGAAACTGAGAATGAATCAATTTGCAACAGAAGTTAAAGATGATTTATATGTGTATATAATATGTAAAACATCATGAGGTTGAGAACGTAATAGATAATGATGACCAAAGCAAACTGAAAGAGTCAAAAAGCACAAACTACCAGTGAGCAGCAGCTGATGCAAAGAAAACAGCCCTGAGAGGCGGAGGAAGACAAAGTCACCAGGAGGCCTCTGGCCCAAGACAGAGCAGCCCGTCCTAAAGCTGCCACCTGCTTCAGGTCATGATAGCTTTCTGGTCCAGTTCACTGGGGTCATTAACAAATGCTCTTTTTTCTTTTCTTTTCTTTTTTCTCACAATGTGGTGAGTTATTTGCCTTTTACCTTGAGTTTCTGAATTCCACCTCATCTTTCACCCACACTGAATGGTTTTACTCATTTGTGATCACTTTCCTACTATACCATAGGCTAAGGTACATCAAGAATAAAAGTTGTTTTAAATGTTAAGATCTTAATAAACACCACTAGTACATGTAAAAGTTTCAGGATTTATTTTGCCATGCTGCAAATCCAAGGTTGGAAGGAACAGTCGAGGAAGCAGGCGGAGGGAGACTAACACCGCAGCTCAAACCAACCCAGAGGGAAGGAAGGAGCACCACAGCTGGGGCCTGGACTCCTCGATTCTGGTCCGTCAGCCTGGGCGACTACAGGCTACACACACCTGACACCTGCAGTGGCCAGTCTGGAAACGGCATCTCCAGATGGCCTAAGCCAAGGTACAAGCAGGTGGTGGTCTTGGGAGAAGACCTGCCCCAGTCTCCCTGCCCCACTTCTACCGGGAGATCATCTATGATCCTGAAAAGAAAACAGCTCAGAACAACCTGAGCTGCATGCGGTATGCAAAACTGGTCAGGCCTGAAAGATGGAAGTGCAGAACTTCAGTCACAGGGACAACCCCCTAGTCACACCTGGGGGCAAGTGAGGGAAGGTATTTTGTTCCTGACTAGCAGCCTCACCCACAATCTACAGGTGCCAGTGTGATAAAAAGAATAGAGTACAGCAAATCAATGGCTTAGACTATTTTAACATAAATTCTTGGTAATAATTCGGAAACTGCCTCTTTTTTCACCCATAGAGCCCATTTATAACTGCTGCTAATGGGAGTGTTCAGGGCAACCTGAATCTATGCTTTCCTGTGGTCAACCTCAAGCTTGGGGCTTGAATAAACTTTCTACTTCACGCTTTCAGAATCTCATTGTTTAAGGTGATAACCCAACCCTGTGTACTCTGCTCTGGCCCCGTCCCTCATACACCTCATTAAATCAATCCCACATTAATAAGTGTCTTTTCAAAAAGTACACAACCTCAAAACTCCATTTATCTCCTTCTCCTGTCCCCTGCTAACATAAAAATCTTAGAAAAATCATTTGGCTTCCTTCCCTCCTCCTCCTCCTATTCACTTGGGAAAAACAACGAAAGATCTTGATCATAGCTGCAGTTATAAAAATAGCATAAACAACTGGGGGAAAGAAGAAGAAAAGAAAGTGATGTAAATGGAAGAACCGGTGCCATGAGCACAAGGTCCTCAGAAACACCCAGATTTCTCCTTCAAAAGAGCCACAAGAGCTGCTGTGTCATCTTCACATTCCTCTAGCTTAATTGCAGTGTCTAATGTAAGTGCTTAAAAGAAGCCTAAACGTTCTTCCACGTTTAATTATCAGCATAAATGACTTATATCTTCCCATTCAAAATATTTCTTATGCCACAGCAGTATTATTATCTTACTTCTGCTATATTATGCTTTAAATTAATAGTTTTAAAATGTTTTATGAGATTTGCAGAGTTTCTTCAAACTCTTCTACAGAAATAAGCCTAATCACCGATAGAGTGGGGTGCGTGGGCTGGGAAGGGTGCAGCAAGGTCCTGTAGCCCGGCCTCCCCTTTCCCTCTGTGACCTTTTTCATCCGCAAATAAAAAGATCAACAGTGAACAATTGGTAGGTCATTTGTTTCTTTGTGAGCTCATATTTTTGAGCTCTGTAAGCACATATTTTTGAGATCATTAGGAACAGGACACATTGCCAGTATGTTAAACACAGAGCATCTGGCATCAGATACATATTTAACATTTCTATAACTATTAAAATATTTAAATTATGGTTGTAACAAGTAGTCCTGGGGGGGCTTCTATGACTTGCTTTCTAATTTCTACCAAGATGAGAAACAAAAATAAATTATAAAGTTCTAGAAACAACTGCTGACAAGAATTCATTATAATAGAGGAATTATTTTGTCAAATTTAATCAAAAATTGGATTGC